AAGAAAGGCGTTCCTCTTTTCTGTTGCAGCACGAATCGATGAAGATGATGCGGTTAGCTTTCTTCCTGACGTTCTCTTCCGTTTTGTTCTCTCTTTCGCCCGTAATGATCACCTCGTCTCTTTGTAATTTCTCTTCTTCTTCAAATTCTCTTTTCCTTTCTTTTCTTGGATTTTTTCTTCTTCAAATTTTTGTGTATATTACGAGTGCACGTATAACATGAACAATTTTGTTCTTCTGCCGAATGATTTCGTAGCGATGCACGACAAAATCGAAGAATTCTACACGATGATTTCCGGTTACTATATACGAGTGATGAAGTTGCGAGAAAGTGGAATAAGAGGTTTAAAGTAATTGAAATGATTCCGAAGAAGGGATACAAGGGATAAGAAGTAAGAGATATGAAATAAAAGATAAGGATGAAACTCGAGATAGATTTGAACAAATGAGAACAAAGAAGGCTATTGAAATTTCGTAGAATCAATTTTGCGCGTCTGCGATAAAAGTTCGAATTAGAATTCGTCGAGATTCCGCTAAGATTTCGATTGCAAGATTTGGTGGAATAACAATTCCCCTTTCTTTTCTATGAGAAAATTTGAGAGGTTCTAATTCAAATTTGAGCCTGAATATAAATTAGAATATAAACCCAAGTCTGAATTTGATTTTTTTTTAATATTTTCAACTCATTCTCTTCAAGTTTTTTTTTAAAAAAGAAAAAAATTTGATTGGACCACTGTGCACCCTTCGATTTTCGATCCCGCGTCGTCGACGGACCCCTCGCCAGTCTCGGAGAAGACTCGAGCCCCCTTTGAACGAGTCCCCTTCGACTGGTGACCCCCCGGGAGTGATAACGATGCGAGGGTGGACGTCTCGATGCGACTGACTGTTGGTGTTTCATTCAAGAAGGCGTCGCGACGCCAACGTCGAGGCGCGCACGCGCCGGCGGGCGCGGCGCGGCGCTGCCTTTCTTCCGTCGTCTATTTGGGCCCGTGGTGCACCCACGCACCCACGCAAATCGCACGCGTCCACGCACGCGCGTATCGCGCGCCGATTTTTATTTCGATCGATTGAAATATATTCCGGTATTAATAGACGACGAACGGCACGGCGTCCCTTTTCGCGGCTGCGACTATTCGGAGTGGATCTCGGGAGGAAAAGTTCTTTAAATTCTAATTTAATTGCTTGAAAGATGCAAAATGCTTTTCTTAGCAGTTTTGGAATTGGAAGATAATTCTCTTGTGGAATTTTAGAAATAATTTATTATGCGTTTGTTTAGCTCATACATCTTAACTTTAATCATTGTGTGATAAATAATTCAATTTTATTTTGCATATTGAAATGGTAACACTAATTAGCCTTTATATGCTGTGTAAAAGTAATTAAAAACTTGATTGTAATTTAAAATAATAATCACAGAATAATTATGTATAATAAAAAATATCTTAAAATCCGACATTTTTTCGTAATTCTGAGAGATTTTCTAAACGATTTTTCTAAAAATTCTTCAAGAAATTTCGAAATAATATGTGTTTTCTTCATATATGGATGTATATATTTTATATATAAGAAGCATTATTCTTTAATAAATATTTTCTTTCAATTTAATCATTAATGCAAAGTTGCAGCCAAAACTAACCATTTACGATTGCGCGATAATTGCGGAATGACATGCAATTTCAGTAAGAAAATGTTTATCGTAGAGTGTAAGATAAAAGCTTGAGCTTCTTTGATTCGGCCTTTGAGTCCCGAATGCCGTGAATAGACCGGCCGCGCTCGTGAGAGAGTCATTGAGTGCGATCGTGTCTGTTTTTATAGGCCGGAGAAACTCTCGAGAGACGCGAGATCGTTAGTGCGAGATCAATGGTCGACGTCGATGATCGACGATCCGCAGTTGAGACTCTTCAAGCTCGACACCCGTCATACCTTCAAAGCGCGAATCGCGCCCGGTTGAGTGACGCGCCTTCGCGATACGGCAACTTCGTACCTCCCGGACGCAACACACCCGGAGAAAAATTATAGGCTCACACACGGCGATTACGCGCGAGTTGCAGGCCCCGAAATAAAAATCAGATATCTCCATATTGTGTAACAGCAGACCTGTGCCTGCGCGAGAATCGGGCAATTCTCTTTCGGTATTGCGGCGAAATATCCGTGATACTTGCGCTTTTGCGACAAAAACTTTAGAAGTCAAGAAGCTATTTTTTTAATATAAATATTAGTAATATAAATTATTTAAATTCTGAAAAAAACTGTAAAAGTATTAGAGAGCGAAAGCTACAAATGAGCCATGCAGTTTTCCAATAAATTGAGAAAGAAGATGAGATCAGCAAATACTGAGAAATTTTTGCATTTTCTCACCATAACGAACAGAGCAATTATAACAAAATTATCTAATTTGCAATATTTGTTGATTTAGTCAATTTTTGTTATTGGAATTTTTCCACTTGAACTTTTCCACTATGAACTTATATTCATAGAAAAATTAAAAGATAAATAAGCAAAGTCCTCTCTTGTTCGTTACTATAATAATCACAAATTGATGTGTGATTTCATTTTCTTAGAACATTCGTCCTTATTGTCGCAAGTTTTCGAGTAATGGCTGACCGTTGGAGCAATTTTTCGGCACAAACAAGATATATTCTCAGATTCTGCCTAAACTTCCGTTAGACAGAAATAGACGTGAAATGACACGGATAAGCGGCTGGGTGTCGCTGAAATAAAACTCGCGGCCATCTGGATTCGCGGTGTATGGAAAAACAAACTCGTCGCTTCGGTGCCTCCGCGCTTTACGATTCGCCCGGAAAGCCTCGCGATAACCGGCGAATGATTCGCGGATATCCGAAAATATGCCTCGAGGAGGCGAGCAAAAACTAAATTTTTAATTTTCCTTGAATCCTTGGAAGAGATACTGACGTTTCATCAAGAATTATAGAAAACTAATGTTACAATCTGATTAAGAATTCAAAGTATTAATTGAAAGCAAATAGTAAATTCAGAATGATATAGTCATATTAGCTAATTGATAACTAATAAGAAATTTGTCGTAGGATAATATTAAGAAAATAATATTTTGACGATTATTCTTACGATTATTAAATATATTAAAAACATACCTTATACCTCTTTCAAACAGTATTTAGAGGGAAAAATCTTGTTACCAAGACTCGTTGCAGAGATGAAAAAGTCTGGCAATCCGTTGAACGGCCGTCTGCTAGCGCGTTTCGTTTCCCATAATCCAAGAATATATATAAGCTATTTTCAACCTCGATCACATCGCGAGAAAAAGCGAGCTGAGCGAAGTTCGTCCCGAGAAAATACGAAAAATGCGTACGTGAAGTAAAACTTCACAGCGTTCGACCGACCGCTTTCGATTTCGGGCTCTTTTTGTCACTTTAACCAACGATTACTCTTATATATACTTTTTAATAAGACTTTAATTACTCTTATATTTACTTTTTAATAAGATCAAAGAAAAATTTAAACGAAAAATGTTCTAGAGAAATATATTCCTTTTTTTTTATAGATGCAACTATAAAATTTTTATGTAAAAGGTTTTCAATAGTGGAAGAATAAAATTATAATTGTTTTTATAAATATTGTCCTTTTATCTCTAAATACCTATAACGTCATGTATAGCAATAATTCTTTTTAATTATAAAACTATAAAAATGGGTATCACTCTGCCTACCTAATCTATATATCAATTAATAAGTACAATATAAAACATAAATAATATCTCTTTCCAAATGACATACAGATAAAAATCCATAATTTTCAAAATTTTATTTACGCAATCGGAAGATATGATATCTTGACTCAAATATATAAAAAGCTTTAAATTAAATTCTATACGGTCCACATTTTTTTCTACTAAACTATTTTTTGACTGAGACTTTACAAATTGCGTAAGACGAGATTTATTTCATTTATCTGCATTGGCCGTCCACATTCTTAATTCTTTTTGACTCGGAAAGTTCACGAAGAGAGACAAGAATTATAGGGGGATAATCGAGGGAGTCGATTAAGGACGGGGAAATCGGAAAGAGCGTGCACGCCGTGAGTGCACGGCAGGAAAGTGGAGGCGCATACATTCATAAGGTAAGGCAAGAAGGGACGTTCTATTTCCGGATGCGCAGCTTACCAAATATACGCGACTCCACTCGCCTTTACGACGTATATAGTTTCCGCCGCGCATCCACCCGCCCCTCTTTTCCTGCCACCCCCACGTATACACGCGCCATTTTGACGGGGACTTGGGTCTCTCGGTCTCTCACGTTCATTAAGCGACCTCGCCCGCCGCGGATGCGGACGCGTTTAAACAACCGTAATTGCGCGTTCAACTCGTGCGGTTCTCCCACTGCGGCAAAACCACACCGGGTTTGCTAAACGTTTCAGCTTTCACTCCGCCGTAGTCCAGTTTTGGAGAATTACTTCCTACCTATCTTTCATACGCATCTCTTTCCTTTCATAACGCATAAATATTTATGTATCTAAATAATTCAACGAGAAATTATATTTATGAAATATTTATCAGAAATGTTTAGTAAATATTAGAAATATCATTACCTGCTAAAAATATATTTAAAAAATAATATTTATCGTTAAAAAAAGTTTGTTTGAATTACTAGAAGACATAATTAAAAATTAAATTAATGCATCTGTGAGGAATTTAAGATTTATCATACACGTTTACGCATATAATGCGACCTTAATTGTTGACTTATGATATATGCAAAATTTTATATTGACAACTTAAAATAAGATTTAGCGGAAAAAATGTGCGGGATATAAATACGAGTTTTTAGAAGTTCAATTTACTCTGTTATTATATACATATCGCTATCGCAGCGAATTCTCTCTCCGAATCAACAAATAAATTATAATATAATTGTAAAACCTAAAATTAGCATGCACATGTTTGCGTCTTAGGAATGGGCGGATCAAGGAAACAGGTGTCTTCGTGAAATAACTGCCGCGCAGAAACGCTTCGTCCCCTCTGTACTTTTTTTTGTCAAAACCGTTTTCTTTATTTTGTAGAAAACTGCGTGATAAGTACACCAATAATCTTGCAATGTCGAAGTGTTGCCGATTTATATTGGAGGCAGGGACGGGAAGGGCTGCCCGCGGGCTTTCGGTCTTTATCAAGCGCCTCAATCGCGATTCGAGCAGTCTCCCCTCCCGCCGGCCCCGTCGTGTGTTACATTGTTTGCTTTTTCTTTTTTTTTCCTAGCAAGCCAGAGCAGTGAACAACGAACATGTCTTTTTCTTCTTTCCCTATGTGATAGTTGTGGTACGACTCTCTATAGTGTATAAAAAGAACTCCCTTTCATATCTCTCATTCTCTCTCTCGCTCTTTTTCTCTCACGCGCTCTATCTCTCTCTCTCTCTCTCTCTCTCTCTCTCTTTCGCCCCGCCATGGCGCGCTCGAACGAACGTGACTCGCATTCGAAATGTGTAATTTCGCAAGCGCGACGCGCCTCTCTCCGAGTGCGGCACGAACTCGCGCGATCTCTTCCTTTTTCCTTCTCTTTCCGTTCTCCTTCCCATTGCTTCTCGCGACGAGCCGCGCGAACTGTTTTTTTTTTTACTTCGAGATGAGATTTTTCTTTTTAACTTTGCATCTTGATTTTTTTTTCGTGTTACTCTCGGTAGAAGCGATCTACTACTTTAACACTGTTCCTACGACATCGATTGATTACGTTAAAAAAAAAAAGGAGTCCTGATTTCCGCTATCTCTTTCTCTCTGTCGCTCTCTCTCTCTCTCTTTCTCTCGCCCGCTCTCGCGCATTGCCACGGTTGAACAATTTTTTTGCTGTTTGAACTTGTCGAATGACGCGACAAGTTCTGTCTTTTATTTCTGCCACGGAACTCTGTACACGCCGGAACGCGCATTGACGTTCAAAATGTCAGTCGAGAAAAAGATCGTTTCAAAGTAGCATTGTCTCTCTCAGTGCGATCTAATATATGTATACACGTAAACCTTTTAAAGTAGACCTTTATATATATGTGTGTGTGTATTTGTGTACGTGTGTGTACTGTGTATGTATGTATATGCGCCACATACATATATATATTTTACATATAAAGATCTATTTTATATAAAAGAAAAAATATATACTTAACTACATAATGAACACTGAATTTTCGAGACAAATCTTTTAACGCCTATGCAGTTAAAAGACAAAGCTATCCCTTTGAACGCTTTTTCCCGACATGTAAGAAATATGAGAAAGCGTATATTCCAATATGTACAAAGTTCAGTGATTTCTGCCTTTGTCACGCTCCTCTGCAACGCACTTATCTCTCTCTCTCTCTCTCTCTTTCTCTCTCATTCTCTCTGTCTCTCGGATAACACTTTTGAACCGATAAGGCGAGCTCGTAACATGACTCATTAATTCCCTTCGTTTTTTTTTGCGAGAATAAAACGGTTATAAAGAGGAGTTTCATGTTACGAATCTTCCCTTATTAGCACGCAACAGTAGGAGGGCTGACTGCAGGACGCAACGTACCTACGAACAACGGCGAGACATCATCCCTAGTGATTTCATTTGTTTAATTCGATTCGCAATTTTGCATCCATCAATCGGTCCACGTTTTCGAAGTTCTTCGATCCATTTCGGTATCATACAACGCGCGAATTTTCCAATAATTTTCAATTAAAACGTATTAAAGCAAACCAAAAGAGAACTGGAAGTAACGAAATGATTCAAGATTCACGTGGAATCTTTGCAGACCGATTGACGACAATGCAAACTCGCGAGTCAATTCGATCAGACAGATCCACGCCAAGGGTGACATAATGGGAGGAAGAGATAAGGGAAAAAAAAATTAGGCTCGATTGGTCGAAAGACTTACAGGGGTGGATTTCGCGAGAGGGACAATGGCGAAGCTCTCTCGACCTCCCTTCCACCGCGAGGGACTAGACATACCGATCTTATCAACAGTACAATTATAATTACAGCTTAGAAACGAAAGCCTTTAAAAGGGGGAATCCCCACTTTTGAACCCCGCTTGCAACCGCTCCGCTCCGCGTCGCAATTTCGCCGGAGGGAGGACGCGAATTATTTTGGAACACCTTGGGAAATCACATTGCGCCTAAGAAAGAGAGAGAGAGAGAGAGAGAGAGAAAGAGTGTGTGTGTGTCTTATCCTTTCCGCCGCTAAATTCGTCGACGAGGACGACGGTATCGGCTGTATTATCCGAATCGGTGGATCAGCGGCCGCGATCGTTTCCCCAGCCGGACGCATGGCTCAACGTGACTAGATTAATCGGCAGTCGCCGGCTTGATCTCGCGGCTGGATTTTGATCGTGCGAGAGCTGCAGATCGTTCGGTCAACCGTCTCGCTTCGAAAGCCCGTCCGTAACGATGGAAAATCAAGACGAAATTGAAAACGCGAAGCGGAGACTCTTGGCAATTGAAAATATGGTGATAAAAAGAGTTGAAAAAAGTAATTCAATCCCATCACTCATGATACGTTATTTCTCCACTGTGAATAGGTAAAAGATCGGATGTGTCTTCAATTTTGCTCTCTTGTAGCCGGAGTCTTACGGCTCTAATTGACCTTTAGTCTCCGCTTCCGCCACATTTCCGTTATCTCATTGCTTCCTCGCTCGTATTTAGCGATGGACTTTGAAACATTACGGTTTCGATTCCGCCGCGGAGTCTGCTGACGTTGCGCGCTGCTACTAATCGCAGACGATGCCACGATCAAGCCAGCGCCTCGCGTGATGATGAGATTGCTGAGAATGGAATCTTATTTGCTCGAAGTGCGGCATTTGATAATCAGTCATTTATCAAATTCGCTCAATTCTCGATAACATGATGATTGAAACTAATTAAATATCACTATTTCTTTTCCTTTCGAGCGTCTAAAGCGTTTGATTGATAATTTTGTGAGTTGAGCAGTTTTGCAAAATGATTAGTATATACAAAGTAATATGTAATTCCGATTTTCAAATCGCTTAAAATAGCAATCTCGAAGGTTGAACCGTGAATTCGGACGGGCAAAAGGATATTTTCAACAGGATCGCTTTCGTTACTCTCTCTCTCTCCTCTCTCTCTCTCTATCTCTCTCTCTCTCGTGTCGAAAGGCCACGATTATATTCATACGTCTCGCACCTCTCATCAAATCCCAATTAACAAATTGCTAGATATATCACGATGTCTGATAGCGATAATAGTAATCGACAATAGCTTGCTAAAAATTTCACTTCGCCTAGAACTTATCGTCTAAAATATCTCGCGCTCGCGCGCCGTCGTGTTTTTTTTTTACAATTCAATCTAAGTCGACGACGTCGCAAATTTAACCAAAAACTTGCACAGGACCCATCGAATTATACAGCACTTCCTTTTCTCGAATTCACTTCTGTTCTGCGCTCTCGTCCGCATTTCGTTTTCTCCGCTCGTCACAATCCATCCGCTTTCCCAATACGCATGTACATACAAATTATATCCTTCCTTTTGCATACGGAAGAGAAACGCGCGCACGAGACAATGAGATTGTAATCAGCGAAGAAGGTGAAAGCGAATGAAAGGGCAATATAGAAGTGAGAATTCGAAAAGAAGAAAAAAAAAAGAAACATCTTTGCCAATATTCCTTCTCGATCGCTTCGCTCCGTACACGCGCTAATTTTTTTTTTACATAGAATACAATTAAACCTCGCCGCCTAATATTGCATGCGCGTGAACACATCTCAAAGGTGAAACAGAAAGACGATATTTTCTCCCTCGACTCTCGCCACACAGCGACATTTTTAATGAACATGAAACGAAACAACCGTCGCCGTGCGGGGCGTAATATGCCCGGACACTTTCACACACAAAGATTAAAATTTTACAATTTTCCTCTTGGGAAGAATTTCGTTAACGATGATTAGGACCTCGCCGTCAAGATGACATTACACTTTCACGCACGTCGAATGCTGAATCTTGCTGTGTCGAGCGATTTGTGACGAAATCGCGTCGCGGATACGCACGGGCGGTGGTATAAAAAATGAGAGTTTCGTGCACTTTTAACGGAATTCCGAACAGTTATCTAAGGGCGCCAACCCGGCCATTTTCTCGGGAAACGAAGCGGAAGCTCGCGAAATTAACGCCAACGAAGTGCACACGAGAGATTATTCCGCTCTACGCGTGCCACCTGCCTTCCTGTCTCGCGCATTCCTCGTACGCCACGCACGATCCGTAATCACAAAGGGAAACGTATCGGTATAATTTCATTGCAATTTCTCCCTGCGTCGCGGACCCTTAAGAAATACAATAATAATTGGTGACTTCTCATGAAATAATCGAGTGATTCGCTCTGTCTCAAAACTGAGATTCAAAGTCGACAAGGCGTTTCCGCACAAGCATTACACATAGCCGATATTTTGATCTTAAAATTTTAATTAAACCTCTATACTTTTACGAGAGACAATACTAGAAATATTTTAACAGTAATTCCAATAAAAATTACGTGATGGTTTAATGATTTGCAAAACTATGGGCCGTGTAATGGCTATTTAGGCAGGATATTTAACATATTCGTTAAAGTTTGATATTTATTCTATCGATTTTTGAGAATAAATTATACTGAAATGTAATTATTTGTTAAAAACGCATTAGCGAATTCGAATCCTCGTTCGAGCAGAACTCGTCCTATTTTGTCAAAACTGAGGCCTTATCTATTTGAATAATAATAAAGATAGCGTTATGTCGGACACAGGGGCGAGCCATGCGGAACGCGAAAGGGATGCGCATTCTCATAGATTTGCATTGCAAATGTACTCTTGTATGCACGCCGCCATTACAAACGTACTCTGTCTGCAAAACAAATGTTTATCGAACAAATAACGATCATTCGATTCTTCCTCGATGCACGAATGCACTATGGTCGATCGTTAATTACCGGTTGTATTAACGTCGATTGGATTTAACTCAATATGGCGTTGATGAACTAAATTTTCCTTCTTTTCTCTTTCTCTGTTGTAGTTACACGAATAGTTAACTTAATAAGAGATGGGCAATTGCTAAAAAGCAAGAGTTAGTTAACCAGAAGTATCAATGTAACCGTGACGAACAGTTGCATTTGTGTTTTCCTCCCTGTATATTACGACATAAATCTAATCTAAAGAGAAAGAACTTATGCGATAGTTAATGCAATGCTGATTAGGGGAATCATTAATCCTTTCCGTCCCAGCTACTTGAGTTGCAAGAAATTTCGAAAATCTCACTTAAAAATTACTCTAAAAATTACGCATCGATGTAACAGACGACCATTTGTTCTCTCTTTTTACTTTTCATTTGAATAAATTATCAGTACATCGATTTTACTACTTATAATGATTACGATTGAACATCTAATGATTACGAACACATAATCTTTAAAATAAGAGATCGACGAATTTCCCTTATAATTATTTCTAATCTCTATACCGGAAAAGATTCAATGTTACTGATTGCATCAAGTGCACATATGTAGCATTCGAGGTAGAACATATTCAACACTTTGACTTTGCCAGAAGAATATACATTTGCATATCGGAGGTGTGTATGTGTGTGCGCGTCCCATTATAGTTTCGTACGGCCGGCCATCTCGTGTTTTTTTAATGGTATGCGTGTTTGTAACGTATGTTTGATGTTTTACTTTTAAATCGGTATGTAGCATATCATTTTTTTTTAGTCGTAATAAGTATATTGATATTGAACTACCTAGTCTAATATGTACAGAGTTCCCGTTTTCACTCTTGGCACTACATTATCCCCCTACACAACTCCTCACACGCATACACAAACACGCGCGAGCGCGCGCGCGGATCCCGCTCTCTCTCTCTCTCTCCCTCTCCTCTCGCTGTCTTTTTTTTTCTTTCCCTTTTTTTCCCTCTCGACCCTGCAATTAGCCGCGCCTCTTGCGCGTCTTTCGTTCTACTCGTTCCGCACACGCGCGCTTGCATTTACTCGTACGCACGCCTGGTCTCGCACTCACGCAACCGAACGAATTCGCTCATACAACTCGTGTCCCGTTCGTCCGTTTTTTTTTCCTTTTTTTTTTCCTGTTCTTCACAACCACCATCGCGTGTAACCGCACTTGCCCCGTCCGGCCGTCGCGCAGCAGCCGCTCGTCGCGAATAAAATGTTATATCGACAATAAATAATTTACTAAGTCTTCGTCGCGATGAACAAACTTCCGCGATGATTCGACGATCGAGCCTCCCGATCGAGAGCTGGAAGAGGGTGACCGGCGGATCCGCTCCGATTTTTGCCGAATCGGTATCGCGCGAGTAGTCGCGAACCTCGCACCCCGTTTCACCTCGAAGCGAAACTTCTCGCCGTCCAATTCCCGGACCGGGGAGCCCCTCGTTCCAGGGTAGGCCATCGCTTCGCGTCGCGCGTTGGTAACGCCACTTTTCCACGCTTTCCGGGCTTCGATCGCCCCGTCCATTCTTCCTCCCCTTCCATCCTCTTCGACGTCCGACGCAACATCGTAAATCCTCGTGCTTACCGCTTCGAAATAATCTGAGATCTAGGCTAGACACTGGCCGCGTGTGGAATTGCACAATGGGACACGTCAACAACGGCGGCGGCGACGGCGCATCGATTCTCCCGGTCGAAAAAAAAAAGAGGACAGGCGCGAACCAACGCACGGCGATTGAGCGCAGTCTTGATGATTGATTTGACTTTTCAGTCATTACAGGAGCCGGCTTCTCTCACACTTCCGCCGGCCCTCCTTTAGGCCACGAACGGCGACCCTCTCTTTCTCTCTCTCACACACACATTCTCTCTCGCTTTCTCTCATTATAGAAGAACGTCGGAAGAATGATTCAACGAGGATACCATCGGCCGGGAGGATATTATATTCTCTCGCGTGTATGCAATACACGTTGTTGAACACGATGGAACATGATCGATGGAATTTATCCTATGTTGAAGCCTCTCCCGTGAGTCAGTCTTGAAGGGCGTCGTCATTGTCGTTGCAGTCGCGCAGAACAATCTTGAGAACCATCGTTCGTTCTCGAGGTCGGACGATGCGGCTGCGACAATGACGACAACGGCGTCAAGGAAGGAGGACGCCGCGGATCAGACCTTCTGATGGAATTGCTGCTGCTGGGGTTGCTGTTGCTGTTGCTGCTGCTGCTGCTGCTGTTGCTCTTGCCGGCTTTCGTCGGTTTCGCAGGGCACCACGGTGATGTTGGACAGATTGCTACTGCTCAGATTACTGCTCACATTACTACTGGACTCGGAATAACTGGAAAAGGGCGGTTTGTTGACCGGCATCGACGTCGACGATGGCGTCGTATGGCTCGGGAACATCTTGAACATGGAGCGTGCGGTATTTAACAACAAATTGCTGCTGCTGGGGCTCTGACTCCGCGTCACCCGGTCGCCGGGCATGTCGAGCAGTCCCGGGTGGAGATGCTGGCTGCTACTTGGCGTCCGATAAGGCGGCGGACTCTCGCTATCGAACACCGTGCGATTCGGCGGCGCCCGCACGCACTTCTGATAAATCTCGCTCTCCTGAAAACAAGAAAATTCGTTATAATCGAGCAAAGGATAAAGAACAGAATATCCACGCTCTTTGAAATTTAAGATAATTGAGCTTAGGCTTTAATATTTGACAACATCTACATCGATCATCTTATATCGGATATATGCAAGTTTTTTGCAGGTTTTATTTGAACATGATTAATGTTTGAACAAATAAAAGTATATATTTTTTTATAGAGCAGACATTTATGTTTGCTTCATAAAAAATTATATTTTCTTAATGCGCAGGTCTTTCTTGCAAAGAAAATAATTAGTGCAAAAGTGAAAACAAAGTCAAAATGAAATTGTAATCATTTAAACTTCTAAAGGATTCGAAATAAGAAAATACAAGAAATTGCTTTTAAGAATTATTTTATGACACGAAATATATATGATAGAAAATTAATAAAATCATATTTTTTATTTGTGCTGCATATATGTGTATTAAATTCAGGCTTTAAATTAATAATATAAAAAACAAAATATTTGAGCGTATAAATAAATCATAAGCAAACATAAATAAATTATAAACATACGCACAAAATTAATTTATTGTAAGAGAATTTATTTATTTTCTCATTCATAACGTCAAGATGCTTTGCAGAAATTTTTAAAATGTTAAATTTATAATTTAAAGTTAAATAATCAATTCTACATACAGTTTGAGATTTAACAATTTTAAGTTATTTTTTTACTCTCTTATTTTATATATCTTTAGACTATAATTTCTAGAATGTAAATTTGTATTGCAGTTATGAGTTACGGTGATTACGGTAGTTTTAAATCGATCGTACTTCAAGCGCGTGTGTTCGAAGTTTAATATTCTTGCTTGCGTAACGATGACGAGGCATAATGAGTACTTGAACCTGAGAATTCGCGGAGGGACAGGAAGCGAATAAATAAATATGTTTTTCGGTCATTCTCCCAACTGTATAAGGCAATGGACAGCGAAGACATGTGTCAACATACTGCAAGTATAATCTTACAGCGTTAAACTCGTCATAAAAGTAAAGATCTGGCAATGCTTATCAAAAAAATTACTATTCACGATTTAGAGAATAATACGTTGTCTTTTAAGAATAATAATATTGAAATTCTTGTATTTTTAAACGATAGTCTGCGACGCTATAATGGTAAAAATAGCAACTACGAATTCTGGAGAAAACGGTCGTAAACGAAAACACTTAAAAAAAAAAACGAATTCTGGAGAAAACGGTCGTAAATGAAAACACTTAAAAAAAAGAGAGAGAAATAAAGAGATCTGTTCTTGAATGGTTCGAATCCTCGCGGGCATTCGCCGAGTCTGTCAAGCCGCTCGATCGCGCTATTTCATCCGAGTCTCTCGCCCCAACTCCCCGCGCTTCTCTCTCACCTGTTCCGGGTTGCGAAGGTGAAGATCTGGGTGCGCCCCGTACGGATGCTCCTCGCCGTCCGGGAGCTCGAGTCGCGGCGGCAGATTGAGGGCGAGATCATGCCGGACGCTCTCCGCGCGGATCGCGCGATCCCTCGCCGCGGCGATCATCACCGCCTGTATATCTCGACGTCTTCTGGTATCGTCGCCATCGCCACCGCCGCCGCCGACTCCACTGCCGACCGCACCGGCGGTCGGGTCATCTTCCGCCGATGCACCGCGTCCGCTGCTGCCGACCTCCATTCCTTGGCTCACCGACAGCATCTGCAAAATCGACCATCGTGTTTACGCCTTTGAAAAAATACGCGGGATGTGTGTAGCGTGGTACATCATATTATCACGCGAAAACATCGAGATGTTTTCGATGCATCGTTGCAAAATTTCCGGTGCTGTCAGTCTAACGCAACGATATTATTATCGTTCTACTTTCTACAGATAAAAAGAAATGGCTACATTTGATAGTAAAAAGCATCACTGTGAATGGCTGAATATTATTGTCTTCAGAAATCGTTTGATGACGATGATGTACAATTTAATAAATCGCGACCTCCATCAATTTTTTTTGTTATTCTTTCAATGATAAAGAAATCTACAAAAGGTCGGAAATAGCCCTTAATACGATTAGTTCATCAAATGTTTCGAGATCACAGAAAAAAAAAGATTCCAAATTTCGTATAATTCCGGCGGAAGGTATTCGTGTCGAAAAGTACGAAGATGCTCGTGCCGTATAAAGCGCGCGCATGTGGTGACTGCTATTATCCGGCGCCGAGGAAAAGGGTTGCGATCGTGAGCCCTCCGCTACGGTCGTGAATAAATTAGTGCAGAAAATGAAATTGCTCGACCATTCGATCAGGAGAGCGCCTGCTATACGTGGATATAGATATTAGTGCCGTTGCACTCGGTTCACGTAAATAATTGCATATAAATCATATCATTATATCCGCAGGATTAATTCCTCTCTGTGATGTTGATTATTCATACAATCGAACGGACATTCGAAATACTTTTTGATTCGTGATCCCGTGTTGTCATCGTGAAACACGGGAAACGTGCGCATCGCTTTAAAGAAAAATTATCAATTCATACATATGATAAACATGTGCACTGATGAAAATGCGCATTTTTTATAGGAAGGAATAATAGACAAAGATATTTTTTATTCGCAAAATTGATTTCAAACGGCATGCATTGATTTGTAATGATAAATTAGTCTTGAACCAAACGGTATAAAGTTCATAATGCAAACACAATTCAAAAGTTATGAAAGTGACTTTGACAATTCTTCGAAGTTCCTCGGAAAGATTATTTAGAATTAACTAAAGGTTTGAAACTAATTAGCCGTCTTTTTCTTAGATCTTGCGTGATTCTAAATTTTACGACATAATCCCGACAGATTTTGTATAATTCAGATAATTGCGTCTCAGGTAAAACCTCGATTAGCCGAAACTCAATCGTTTTCTCTTACTTTCAGCGAAAATTTCTTCGCTCGTTCCCTTCGCGGATCCGGTTTAAAACATCTGCTCACGCACGCACGCACGCATACGAGACGCTCGTAAGAGGCGGGCCGAGAAACGTCACGTCGTGACAGTTGACGGTACCACAGGATGGCGTGGTCCGTGCACACCTCGAGAAGTAAAACGGAGAAGGTCGTACGAGCTTCAAGTGCCGACGAGCACGGCGAAAGAACGAGGTCGCGTGCAAACGCACTCGCGACTCGCGCGCTTTCCTTTTCGTTCCGCGTTGCGTCTTCGGGTACACGCACACGTCCGTTCAATTGGCTGTAGATCGAAATAGATCGATCGTCTATGCTGCGACGACCGTGAAAGCCGTCGTCGCGTGTCCGGAAGTTACCTCAATCGCGATGTTTAGGACCAAATTTATAGATTTTTCACATATTTAATTACATAATATATTGACGTATATCTCTGATATTTTGATGTATTATATATTTCTTTTTTTTTATGAGACAGAAATACAAATTATTTCTAAATCAATGCTACCGCTATGTTAAAAAAATAATTTTGCTGCAAATTTACTACAAGCTCTACAATTGTATTGATTATAATTGGATGAATCAGATATTAACAGAAATAATTTTCAAAAATCTTAGTTATTAATTAGAATAATATTTACAATTATATATTATATATTTATATAAACAATATATTGTGATTAAAAAAAACAGGAAATTCTGGAGAAAATTCTTTATTTCTTTATTGATTTTGCTTCCATAAGCAAAGATTTCCAGCCGCCGCTCTGTGCCGAAGTTAACAACGTTTCTGATATGATTTTTATGACAATTTGATCGCGGTTTTTCGAGCGAAAGAGTCGACGCGGAAGTCTTCCTCCCTCGCGAACATTCGCTGGCACGTGCGCGCGTTAACGACTGATGGGTCGGTCGGTCGGTCGCGTTAAAGCTTTAAAGGGGTTTTCAGCACCCCTCCGCTTGCATTCTCGCGCTCGTCCGAGGCCGTCGAAAGGGAAAGCGGAAGAGGGATGCAGTAGCGGCGGCAGCGGCGGCGGCAGCGGCGGCGGCGGCTGTTGCTGCGACGACAACAGAGCGAGGGTGCGCGGCGGAGACAGCAACGACAGGAGCGACTGACACACAGAGGGATGAATGCTCGTTCGCGCTGCTCGCGTACCATTCCTATCGATCGACTTGCAGCATAACATCACGCTCGCTCGTTACCAATATAATGCAGATGCGCCGGGGGCAAACCCTTCGATCAGAGATATGCGGATATTTTCAGAATCGCTTCGCATCGTATCAAGCGCTCTCGTATTCCGATAACGCTATCTCGCGCGATACACGCTTTGTGCAAGTTGTAATTCTTGTTGACTTTCGTCCACAAATTCTAAAAGATCATAAATTATGAATTTATGATAATTGCTCGCGTCTATATTGTCACTGCTTTTTTGATATAATTTTATATAATTCTCTTTGGAATTTTCATTTTCCTCATATTTAACGTGTTTTATATCTAATGCATCTATCTCGTATTAATAAATTTTTGTGAATTTATATACTTTGTTCTCCACTTTTTATCTTTGTAAATATTATGTTACTACTGCTATTTATAATAATTCAAAACAAATAATTAGGCGTACTGATATTTTTTAAATCGCGTTTCTAAACGAAAAACTTATATAAGAGAGTATCTTTATTATTTCTGCAACTTAAAAGAGAATTTCTTTATTATTTCTACAAAAGAGTTTTCTTGATGAGATTAAAAAGAGTGAAGATCTTTGAGATAACACTCTTATATGAAGAAAAACAGGATGCTAGTAATCCAAAGAGAAACTCGTCCGAGCGTATATATTTCAAAACGAGAACCAATGTCATTCTTCGAGTAAAAGGATTTATTATATGTGCCGAATATAGGAATACTATATTTGGTGCATATACGATTTCCTTTCATCTCTTTTCGAGATGAATTTCACGCGATTCTAATTCAAAACTGACAGAGTAGTTGATGGATCATTTGATTAGACTTATATCGCATATTATATTATATCATATCGCAGTTGTCACGACGTAACACGAGCGTTATCCAAATCTCAACCGAAAATAGTTCATTACTACTCGAAACGTTAATTTCGATACATAATTCCACAAATGAATCTATGATGGAAATAATTGTAGAAGTGAAGCATCTTCTGCGTCTCAAAACATTCTGCAGTCACATGCAGAAACAATTTCTAAAAAAAATCGGATTTTTTTTCTCAGCAAATAGACCTAAGTGGCCTGAAAACATTAAATCGAAATTGCCTTCATTTTCGTGCACGCGCCGTTTATTATTAGATGACATACTGTTATATTTCACGTTTCCGTATACGTGTATTGTGTAAGGATTGAATTTTTCGCGAGGACGAACGTCGTTGGCCTGGGCGAGAGACGAGCACAACCCGGATACGCGGAGGACGAACGAGAGAGGATGAAAGAGTGACGAGAGCGCGAGGTCGTTCGGTCGATCGATCGGAGATAGAGTTAACCGGCGAGCGGCGAAGGGACCGGAACTGCTCGCTCGGGCTGATGCCATCGGTGCTTGAAACGCCATAGCGGCTCGCAAAAGCCCCGCGGACGGTGATGTTGTAACGGACTTTATGGCTCTCCCCGAACCACGCTGGCACCTCGGTGGACCATAAAACCGCTAGTCGCCTGTCGCAGTTGCACAGGCTCCGGCTCGATACCGCTGCGCTGCGCTCGGAAACGTGACACTGCCGTCATCGTCGTTCGTCCTCGTCCCCGTCGTTCGCCCTTCCTGCCCCCCTCCTCTCCATCGTCGATCGATTGAAATTGCAGTTTCAGAAAAGGGTAAACTTCGTCGCATCGATCGTTCGCTTCGCAGATATTATACGCCCTCCCCGAGAAACTTACACCTCCCCCCGGAGCCCGGAGCTACACCCTCTCCCGGGACGTCAAAGTCACCCGGCGACGACAAAGCGGTATTTCGAGGAACTTCGTGGATGTAACTTCGCGCTCGCGAACACACGCGTTCGCGATTCCAACGATGCCGGCAGTTTACGCCGATCGACGAACCGCCGCATATCTCGCCGTTTATTTTCCGCCGCTGAGATAACGGGACAATATAATCGAGCGAATATCGAAATCGAAAGCGAGGATATATCTCGTGAGTAATTGCTGTTGATTGGCCGATAATTATAAATAATTGACTTTTATTCTGCTGACTAATGGATCATACTACCGTGACCGATTTAAGAAAAAGAAACAAAAAAAGAGAGAAATATTCGTATCTGAAAAGATGAGAAGAAATAATTTTCTTGGACTTTCAGAAAAAAAACAATGTTTGCGGAATATAAACACGAGAGTACGCATTAAGGCATTTTTCTTCTCTCTTTTTTTTTGCGAGATTTTTTGCCATGAATGTTTTCTACCGGAGACAATCGGCTGAAAATAATTTTTTCCAGAAGGTATTTGCCAAAAAAAAAGACATAATATTTGTCTGAAGTTACCTATACGCAGTTCGATCAATGTCGTGCTTCGAAGCTCATGCCGACAAACAACGATTAAAATATACGTCAAGCCAATCGCACGTCGCCGATAAAGCGCGTATAATTTTTGACGTCCGCGCCGCCGCTCCGTGTGCGTCTTTTAGATTACGCAATCTCCTCGTCGTCGTCTTAATCTTACGCCCGTTGCAAATATTGTGTTCGGGCGAAGTGCACATGCACTCTTCATCACCCTATGATGCTTCAGGGCGGGCGAAAATGCAGTTTATAAGATTTACTACATGTAACTATCA